GGTCTCCACCTTGGTGACTCGAACCGGATGAGCTTCGGGCCTCCATCTCGCTTAGGACACCCTCACTGATCTACTTGGTCTCCATATGGTTCTCCAAGCATGGTCATATATATGGAGGTCATGTCCTCATCATCCTCCCTTTCTTGACGAAAAGCCGTCCTCGGCGTCGATTTTGTTTGAAGTCGATCCTGCACAACATGATGACAAACGAGGTTTCCAAAATAATGGGAATGGACAATGTTGTGAGAGAGAATATGACCATATGTCCAGGTTTGTAGCATGTCTTGTCCTACAGACATGTAGTCTGCTCGATTGAAATACACACAGTCTTTGCCAATACTATCCTGCAAAAGATTAGTACTAACAAGAAACATACGCTCCCTTTCTTTGAATTCTACTTGTGTTCGAAAAATAAAACTAGAGGAATATGGCATAACAATAGTGTTGATTTTACTGTCCTCTAGTTGATCATTACTTTGCACAACAAAAGGAGAATTCAGATTTGTACAAATATAAACTCATTGTATCAAATATTGCCCTTAGTTGTTATATTTAACAAAAACATGATATGTATGTCTAGAGAACCATGGCAAATCAGCATATGCATAAAGTTTCTCCTATAAAGAACTAAGATTACACGGAACATCAAATTCAATGTAACCCAAAGTATTTAAAGAAGACAACAATTTCAGCTCATCAACTTCACTAGCATTATGAATAACAAGTATATTTTTAGCACAAGTGCTCAATTTCAGCACACATATAGCGTGATCCTTCTTCAATGAGTGCATGGGTATAACATAAATATCATCATGCAAGTCATCTTCGTCACAAGAAACATCAAGCAAATCATCTTGTGACAAAGGTAAATCAAGCGAAGCCTCCACTAAAATTTGCTCTATCATAGCATGATTGGTGGAAAAATTCAGCACATCAAGAGAACTCTCACCTTCCGTGAGTTTAGCATCGTGGGCATTACCTTTGCTCTTATGTTCAGCAGGAGTAATAGTTGATGGTTCTGAATTTTCACATGAGGTTGTGAACATCTCCTTTTCTGTTACGTCATCCTTGCTCTTTTGTACATTGTCCTACAAAATGTTAGGCATAGCAGAAGGAATAACAAGAGATTGATCAATTTGATACACCTCATCATTTGAATTAATTACAAGCGATGGATTAACAAAATTTTCTCTCATAATATGTTTCATATCATTCCAAGTTTGAGGTTTATCAGAAGGATCTAAAGACTCCCACCAAGATAAAGCAGAATGTTGCAAAACACTAGCTGCATTTTTTACCTTCCTCCTTGGACACATAAAGCGAGTAGCAAATATGTTATCGATGGTAATTTCCCACTCTATGTACTCATCAGCACCTATACCATTATAAGTCGGTGGATACGAACAACCTGTCATTGTTAGAAGACAGCAAAAGACAACACAAAAGTATTATCCCTATCAACTACTTAGGTTGTGGACAAGGGAAAACAAAGCACTCAACTCTCAAGCGTCTTACCACGGTCTTACAAGTGTTCTTACTAAAGCAACAGGCGGTGCAATCGGTCGGTGACTGTGATACCGTTGTAGCTTGAGTGTAACAGTTGCAAGGCGAATTTGTACTTGGTTAGAAGAAAGTGGAGCTTGGATAAGCACAATATAGTAGCAAGGAAAAACAATATTCGCAACTGAATAGCAAAGCTGAATAAGTATCCCAAGTACTTGTCTTAGTTGCTGACCTACTCACGTTCTAAGTACCAGATGTATCAAGTGATATGAATAGCAGAAATATGATTAGGAACAAGGCAGGAATCAGCACACGCAAACACAGCTCAAAGGGCGCTCTCTATGTGCTCCTCTAGATATTGTTCCTCTTTTGCCCCTCAGTTTTTTCTATTTTTTGGACTGTCGTTGTTTTTTTGGAAAATTTCATCTTTTTTATTTTTTTGATATTTTTCCTTTACTTAGGAGCACAAAAGAAGTAACCACAGAAAATATGAGCTTAAACAAGTGAAATACGTGGCCTGTGGAATTTTCAGAAGACGTGCTCAAAATCGACAAAAACCTTGTTACCACGAAAAGAGGATCTTGTGACCACTTTTTGACCAATTTAAAATCTTTGAACCTTGACAGGGCAGGGATGGACGGATCCGAAAATTTTTTCTGATCAATTTTGATATATGGAACGTCGAAATCCGAGTTCGTATGCGAAAACTAGACCAGTTTTACGAACGGACTCCGAATTAGAGGACAAAACGGAAACAATGCGCGCAAAATTAGTCACGACAGCAAGGATCTGATGGAAACAATGAAGACAAGTGCAACAAATTAGATGACATGGACTAGGGTTTGATGGATACAAAGGAAACACAGCAAGACTTGAAGATGTTCATGAATTATGATGAAAAATAAAGGGAAAAACACAAACTGGACTCAAAACGATCTAAAACCAGCAACCAGAACTTGACCTAGGGCACAAACTCAACAACGCGAAACAGAAATGAAATTGCACGGCACAATGAGGCTATAGGACGGGGAATATGTGGTGGCATATATTTTTTTTGGCTTTTTGTGGACTATAGATAATGCAAAAACAGTAACAATCTAAAGGGAAAAGAAAGTTATACCTAACGGGCAACAAGGTCTCTTATACCACTTGATGTAGACTAGGCCCGATATTCCGAAAGGTATGATAGCGTCGATTGGTGGAGACTCGACGTTCACGATCTAGGCTTCGAACTAAGACTGATTCAGACCCCCCACAACCGTTACACCACTGCTCCGTTGGTTATCAACCACGCGAACGCAATTGACCTCGCCGAGAAGGCTTTCCTGCAAGCGAATCGAGAACACAAGCAAAAACGGGATAAACGCAATCTAAAATTGCAAATAAATATGAGGCTTAAGATAACGAGAAGGAGTTCAAGTCTTTATTCGAAAAGACTAATCGCCATAGGCGAACAAGATCAAGAACTAGGGCCCTGGTTCACAGCAAGCAGCCTTGGTGGCATAGTTGCAGCAAAACGATGTCTGTTTCATGAGGAAATCAAGAACTAAACAAAACCCAAACCCTAAGGAGAGTGATGGCTGGTATTTATAGAGTCTTGGGCGTCACCCCTGGACGCGCCCCCTAATGGGCCCAAACACGATACATGGTCCAACGGACCAAAAGACGGTGTCGCAGCACCTGGCAGATTTTAGACGCTGACTTGTGACCATGATTCCCGTTGACTCTGAACATATTTTGACGTGAGACCACTTGTATTGGCTTCCTTATCAAATTAGCTTTCCATCCATATGTGGATCATCGAAAATGGAGTCCGGATGTATCCTGGGTGACTAGTTTAAGGTAGACTGGTCCTGTAGGCCGAGATGGACTCGAACTTTCAGTCGGTTTTGTCGAGTCAAACCGACAGATCATGACGCTATGCATTTTCAGTTTTCAGTTCATCGAGTCAAATGGATGGACAGATCATGAAGCAGCAACCAAGCTCGGTCTTACATACGGTCTTTCAAGATTTTTAGTGTTCAGGTGACGTTCAGTTTTGCTGTTGTTTAAAGCTCAGTATTCTTTTTATCATAATTAACGTCGGTAGAAAATTTGTCGAGTTGGTGAAGATTTTTGTTATCCTAAGAAGATGATGCAGAATGTAAGTTTGTACTTCTTTGTTTGCAATTGCAATATGTCCATAGACCTTGACTGCGATTTGTACATTGCATTTTTTGAGGGGGCGGGGAACAGAGGCTTCTAAAGTGTCATTTCTTTTGTCATCTTTTTGTGGATGAAGCTGCCGTGTCTAATCAGTTGGCCTTATTATTATTGATATTCTGTTTTCCCCCCTTTTGTCTGTGCGTTGGATAGAATTGTTTCTGAAACATTGCAGAGATAGCTTGGTCGCTTCAACCTGCTTGGAGTTTAAGACTTTGTTGCTACTGCTTTGCATCGGCGTCGCACAACGTAATGGTCTCGCTGACAGTTCTGTGGTGGAAACTGCATCTTCAGAGTTAATGCTGACGATAGATGCAAGGGAGTAATTAGATGATACTCCATTATTATATACTACAAGGGAGTAGATGATACAGCCATAGATCAGTGTAGTGGTATGGAGCTGTAAAGTTTAGCGCCAAGACTCCATATATATAAATAATGATTTAAGGCAAGCATAACATAGGAAACGTAATATCCATGGAAACTGGTGTAACAGTGGGTACTGCCCAAAAACACACACAAGAAACAGGAGTTCCTTAGCTTGGGCTTTTGCAATCTGTCATGTCAATTCCTGCATCTCTGCTCAACTGCATATGCAATGGGTTCCGAATGGTTGATGGAAGTAATTCATCAAGCATTCTCACCTAGAGTTTGCAGGCATGCCATCAGCACCGTGGCTGCATGCTTACAGTGGACAGGAGCCCTCGAAATGGGGCCCCGCAAATCCATACTATGCAAACCTGAGGCTCTGCCCAAGCCATGGCACGTGATGCTAGATGACCTCTTTATTACTCTTCAGCAACAAGAGCATATACTGGAACAATCAGGGAAAGATATAACCCTGTTCGCTCGATCGTTTTTGTGGCTTATAAGCCGGCTGATGCTGTTTTATTGTGAGAGAAAAACACTGTATCATAGCTAATAAACATGGCTGATACGATCAAGCTGATAAATAGGATGATACCTGGCACACATATCTATATATATATTTATGAGGTCCAAAATAAACCTATCATTAGATTTAGATTGACGAAATATGGTGCCGGGAGAGAATCTCTAAGCACTCCACTCCAATACCGCCCCTAAATCTCATACTCTACTTCATGTGAGCAAGCAAGTTCCAGGTCCTAGAGACCAATTATCACCGAGACGAGGTATCTACAAAAGCTTTCCTGCAGCCATGCCATTTCCTTATTTCTACTACTTCTTACTTCCAGAGACTCATCTCTATCGTCTCTACCTTAGGAACTATTACTACTTCTGCTACCTCTACCTGCACCAGCCTTCCATGCTTCTCAGGTGGCTGCAGGTTGTTTCTTCTTTAACTTCTCGACAATGAACTTCCTCGTGTCCGCACCCTTGACATTGAATTCCATCAGAAGATCTTCGTACAGTACCTTCAAGCTCGGATTGAATGAGCATGAGCTGCGTCTGTTTGGAGGGATTGCCTTGATAACTCCTGGCTTTGGCTTTGGTGCACTGCTGCTACTGCTGGATGCTCCCGCATCACCGCTTTTGTATTCTGACTCTTCCTCGTCCTCTGGCACTACTGAGCCAATATCATTACCCGCCATGTAGTGCTTGCATGCTGCGAGAATAATGTGCCCATGCACCCCGGAAGTGGCCAGCGACAAGGTCTGCAAAGTGCTGTGAGGACAACACAAGCCAAAGGTGGATCAGTTCAGCTACACTACAAGGCAGCAGAAGCCGAAATTCAATTGTACTTTGCTGAACCAGTAATTTAGAAACAAATTACCTCTGGAGGCCTCCGAAGTGAGTATAACATAGTCCTGCATGAGTACAGAAAGGTCTTGTCATTATAGTCCAAAGCCGACCGCTGTCCCTGCGGATCGTTGGCATAGGACTCATATCCTGGCTCGTTGTAATATGGCTTATCATTCAAAATGAGAGCTTGAATGGAGACAAGAACTTGCAGCATTGTTGATTGAGCTGGATTCCAGTTCTCACAACCTCTACCACTCCAGGTACCCAACAGGCTAAGACACACTTTTCCATTCTCATACAAGTTTGGATTAATCAGAAGTCCTCCAGAGTGGTAATATACCACCTGTAACCCCCATCAGAGATAAAAAATTCAAGAGAATGCAAAAATGATAACAAATAATAAAAAAAGAATAGTAACATGCCAAAGCTTTTGGTATATATACCGGAGGGCCAGAAGGATACGTAGGGGGCATGTGAACATCAAAGAAGAAAAGCCCATCATGGTATGGTGTTCCCTTGGGCCCAATAATCGCAGCCCTAAGAAGATCCATTCTATCTTCAGCAACCCGGACATATATATATGCTGCACAGAAGAAAACCATTGGAATCTATACCTCTATAGTCTATAATATACGAAAAATACATTGAAACAATGTACAATCAAAAAGGAAGTGATAGCTAGTCCAACACTTCACAAAGGAAGTAATAGTTAGTCCAACACTTTGACGATCTGTGAAAAAAATCATGGCAATACTCTTAAACTTCTACACAGATCATATACAAAAAAAGGGTAAGATGTTCAAAGATGAGGAAACCACAAATGAAATGAGTGTATTACACTCAAGTTTAAGTGCTTAACAAAGATAAGAGTATGGGACGCAATGATACATGAGGATAGATATATACAGGCCCTTACAGATAGATATAGTTCAAAGTAACTAAACAATATTACTATATCAAACTTATCACTTCTTTCAGCTAATTGAATTTTTTATAACTTGAAAGGTAGATTTTTTATAACTTGAAAGGTAGCCTGGTCTTAGGAAGCAAGGGTGGACACCGGCTGATCGGCTATGGGTGTGGCCACACCATTTTCAATGTTGATTTTGCCCGTAATGTTTGTTGGTCCAACTTAAAAGGCCCATACTATTACTAAGCTATACAAGGAACAAAAACTACGATACTTTGCTTATAGCTATAACCTGGTAGATCCTTCTCCAAAAGTTTCCAGTCATGTTGAACTCTCTTTGACCAGGCTCTGTTTGGCTGAAACAATATATACATGGAAGAATAGGTAAGCACTCAAACAAAGCAGAAGACAAGAGCACATACTAGTTGAGCACCTCACCTCTCCATGAGAATTCTTAGCATAGTGATGGTCAGAGAAATTCTGAACAGTGTCGAACTGCTTGAACTGCGTAAATTTATTTGCATTCTCATCTGCAGTATTTGATTTAGGTGGCTCCTTGGCTTCTTCCTTGGGTGCAATTTTCTGCAACCATGGTACGGTGGCCTCCACGCCTGGAGGAAGATCCAAATCATCAAATTTATCAGCAAGGTGCTGGTTAAAGTCAGCTTCATCAAAGTCATAATCATCTTCGTCATAGCCATCGTCGTCATCATCACAATCCTCCTCCATGTAGTAATCTTCTTCTTCTTCATCTTCTTGGATTTGTTGTGGTTCTGGTTCTGATATTTTCAGAGAACTACTTGAGCTGGAACCAACTTGATCACTTGAAGAACCCTGTAAAACAGTAGGCTAGTCAGTAATTATACCGAGCAAAGCACGAAAAGGACTGTTCCGCGATCCAGAAACCTATATTTAATTAGTCGTGTGGATTGATTGCCAATGTGTAATATAAAATTCTGAATAGGACAAATGCACAAATGCATCTTTATCATAAAGGCCAAAACAACCGCTGCAATGCTTATGGCACTGGAACTTAAATCCTTTCCAGGATGAAATAAAATCGCAGCAAAGCCATCTCCTCACACAATGTTCAGGTACAAAATCACCGATATGCTAGATTAATTAAACAAACAAAATCAACACAATTTATGACCGGCATTGCATCAATCAACCCAAGAAAGGACACATACTGCACCAACACGCCCCCAATTGTATCATATTCGCTACCAACTCATCCCCAGGGAACATCTTGCCACCTGAATTGCCGTGTTCAAATCCCAAACCCTAGTGCCCTGAGAAACCCTTCGTCACCGAAAACCCCAATCCTGGCTGCAACGAAACCCTAAACGACACGCAAATCCGGCCGATGGCGGAAACCCACGAGGATTTCAAAGGGTGCGCGAGAAGGCGACGAATCAACCAGCTCCGGAAGGGGGGAACGGAAAGCGAAACGAGCGGGAGGTGACCTGGCATCGCTGGCGCTTCTGCTGCTGCTCGGCTCCCCACGACGACGCGTCCGCCGTGCACCACGACGAGGAGCTCCCCTGCTGCAAGGCGCGGTACCTGCAGGAGCCGACAGCCCGAGGCGATCATCATCCTTCAAGGAAAAAAATAAAAAATCGCCAAAGAGGAGGAAAAGAAAACCCCCGCGTGCGAAAGAGAGGCGCGCCGTCGGATCGCGGCGGCGACCGGCGAGGTGGTTGACGTACTCGGTGTCCATGTCGTCCGTGGCGGGCGGCGGGCGGCGGGCGGCGCGGAAGGTGAGCCGCCGCGCGATCGCCTTGCTCGGGGTCGGCGTTCGATCGATCGGAAGAGAAGGCTTGCGCGGCGGATTCGCTGACGATTTATCAGCTCCTTGGCTTCTTCCCTCCTTGGCTTCTTCCTTGGGTGCAATTTTCTGCAACCATGGTACGGTGGCCTCCACGCCTGGAGGAAGATCCAAATCATCAAATTTATCAGCAAGGTGCTGGTTAAAGTCAGCTTCATCAAAGTCATAATCATCTTCGTCATAGCCATCGTCGTCATCATCACAATCCTCCTCCATGTAGTAATCTTCTTCTTCTTCATCTTCTTGGATTTGTTGTGGTTCTGGTTCTGATATTTTCAGAGAACTACTTGAGCTGGAACCAACTTGATCACTTGAAGAACCCTGTAAAACAGTAGGCTAGTCAGTAATTATACCGAGCAAAGCACGAAAAGGACTGTTCCGCGATCCAGAAACCTATATTTAATTAGTCGTGTGGATTGATTGCCAATGTGTAATATAAAATTCTGAATAGGACAAATGCACAAATGCATCTTTATCATAAAGGCCAAAACAACCGCTGCAATGCTTATGGCACTGGAACTTAAATCCTTTCCAGGATGAAATAAAATCGCAGCAAAGCCATCTCCTCACACAATGTTCAGGTACAAAATCACCGATATGCTAGATTAATTAAACAAACAAAATCAACACAATTTATGACCGGCATTGCATCAATCAACCCAAGAAAGGACACATACTGCACCAACACGCCCCCAATTGTATCATATTCGCTACCAACTCATCCCCAGGGAATATCTCGCCACCTGAATTGCCGCGTTCAAATCCCAAACCCTAGTGCCCTGAGAAACCCTTCGTCACCGAAAACCCCAATCCCGGCTGCAACGAAACCCTAACGACACGCAAATCCGGCCGATGGCGGAAACCCGCGAGGATTTCAAAGGTGCGCGAGAAGGCGACGAATCAACCAGCTCCGGAAGGGGGAACTGGGGAACGGAAAGCGAAACGAAGCGGGAGGTGACTCGGCATCGCTGGCGCGCCTGCCGCTGCGCGCGGCTCCCCACGACGACGCGTCCGCCGTGCACCACGACGAGGAGCTCCCCTGCAGCAAGGCGCGGTACTGCAGGAGCCGACAGCCCGAGGCGATCATCATCCTTCAAGGAAAAAATAAAAATCGCCAAAGAGGAGGAAAAGAAAACCCCGCGCGGCGAAAAGAGGCGCGCGCCGTCGGATCGCGGCGGCGATCGGGCGAGGTGGTTGACGTACTCGGTGTCCATGTCGTCCGTGGCGATGGCGGGCGGCGGCGCGGCGGCGCGCGAAGGTGAGTTGAGCCGCGCGATCGCGCTTTGCTCGGGTCGGCGTTCGATCGATCGGAAGAGAAGGCTTGCGCGGGCGGATTGGCCGACGATTTATTCAGGCTCGTGCCTAAAGTGCGCGAAAGGCCTGTGCTCTCGCGCTTTCGGACGAAGTGAATGGGCGCGGCGAAGGCAATGGATGAAGCAGTGAGTGCGTGGCGTCGTCGTGTCCGCGACGGCTCTGACGAGTGGGGGGGCAGCGCGTGACGGCCTCCACTTGGCGTGTTCGGCCTGACGCCGATCGGCCATGTCGGCCTGAACCCGAACGCCATCAGAACCAGCGAAGTTCGACTGACAGCGAGTTTTTCCCCCACCCAATCTCTAAATCCGTGACGAGTTAGCACACATAGTCTTAATAAAAGTTGGAGTTCTATGTTAGGGCTACAATTTTGTTTTAGAAAGCATGAGCTAATTCGCAAAGGATTAAGAGTTACATCAAGACAAAGTCAACTTCGTCAAACTGTGAACTCATTCAAGACTTAGAAATTTTTCTAAGTGTGAAAACAGCATTTCAATGATTTTTGTGATCCAATTTCAAGTATGTTAGGAGCTGAACTAGCCTATGACCCAAAAATAAAAGTTGTCACATTACTCAAGTACTACAACTTTGTTTTAGGGTGCACATCCATGCAAAGCTTCTAAAATGTAGTTCAACTCCAGTCAAACATATCACATGAAATTGATACTTTACACTATAAGTATGACTTAGAGGCTAAACTAGCTTTGGTCAAGAATACCAAAGTGGTTTCTAGTAACGTTCTAAACATGTTTGAAGCATTCCTAAGGTTTCACAATCATTTCACACATTGATCACATGTAAATCCTGGGTCAAAGTAAGCATATCCTCACTTAGGAGCTTAATTAGGCAAAGTGATCCACATGAACATTGTTCCACTAAGTATCCTAAGTGTAGCTAAGGTATTATAGTGACCAACATCAACCACTTGCACTCAATCACACATGATCATAAGCATACACATAGGGAAAACATAAAATAACAGGTCATGTTTCACATATTTCAATTGCATGTTTCATATGTGAAAGCTCATATAGGAATGCTTGATGCTTATGCTCATACAATGCAAGTGCAATTATGCAAGCCTAACACCTAGGGTGTTACAGCCCTCCCCCCTTACGAGAATCTCGCCCCGAGATTCGGTGCGAAAGACTTTTAAGGGAAGAGAAGCATGGTATCCATTTTTCCAACATCAGTGATAGCATTAGGCTACTTAATTTCGGATTATCAGATAGGCTAATTTAGTCAAGACACTTTCTGATACTTGCTCTTCGTAGTAAGTTTTGTCTGAAGAATTTCCTTCGTTGGCTTCCATGAAGCATTGTTACTTTGGGAGGAATCCAAGACAGCACAATACTTCGTTCTCGGGATACGAAGAGTACTACAGAGCATAAACTAATTACCCACAATCTCTATTTCCCTAGTGAATGTAGCATGGACCATGTGAACTTTGCACTAGACTTCAAGCTTCTGAAAGCTACTCATTATAATGGTTCCATGTTCATTCACAAAGTTCAAAAAGTGGTTCTCTACCAAAGTAGCTCGAGTACAACCTTTCATAAGGGATGAGATCATAGACAGGGTAAACATCCTCTGAGGCTGTAAGAACCTAAGTAATCAACAGACAATATCTATGCCAGTCGTAACCGTTCAATTACTCAGATGCCAACCGATGGAAAACTACATGATGTTCCATGTGTGACGTTTTCCTTCTCTAATGATAACACTTTATTGTCTAAGTCCGTTGAGTGAGCGGTGAATGTGATAGTTGACTCTGTTGACTCAGCATTTTCGACGATCATTAATTGGGGAATCCTTGTATCCAAGCGGCAACAGTTATCTGGGTTGAATCTGAGGCAACCTCATGGGTAAAAATACATAGAATGTACCAAGGACAAGTCCGCCTTAGAAAACATTGCTGAAGAAGGATGACAGCGAGTCCTGGAGGTCAACGAAAGTTGCAAGTATACACCGACTAAAAAAAGATAGTACACTACTAAGCAGGTTGAGCACAATTTGTCTTTATGGTGCAGTGGCACAGTAAGTTGTGTTGACTTGCACTGTCGCAAAAATAGCCTGGTTAGACTACTTTTGACAATGAGGCTTCCTTTCTAATGTCAATCAACCACTCAAAAGCAAAATCTAAAATCTGTTGTTTGACACTTTTCAAATTGTTTTCGACTCGCAAAAGCATAAATTGACTTGTAGAACACCGGGACCGCTCAAGCATTGTTGATATGAGAGGGCAAAAGCAAGGCACAAAGGGTGCAAGGAGTATTCTCTAGGGCATCTAAAGTATTATCTAATGGAAAAATATTGACCATGTTGCTAATCTTAGCATCAATTACAAGCACAACGTTTCTAATGTGAGGGATGATAGTAGTGAGTAGAGAAATCATAGATTCTATATCTCTCGGTAATTAGTTCATATCCTACAAACTATAGCTCCATTGTGCACAAATTTTGGTAGGCATTTAGGTCCAATAGTCCTTTAACTACTGACCAAAATTCAGCTCAAACGGACATCATTTGACTATCCAAACAAATCATCTACCAAAACTGTTTTGCTTTAAAATTTTGTGACCAAACTGTCAAAACATCGCTCAAATCTAATGCTTTACTCAACCAATCCTCAAACCAACTTAAAACATCGAAGTACCTTAAGCGAGGAATGAGATCACCAAGTTTGGTGTAAATTCAACCAGGTTTGAGCCACTAATCACTGGCTTAAGATAACTAGTGGAGTGCCATAAACCTTGAGAGATTTTCCACTCTTCTTTTTCTTTGCTTCACGCATTGTGGAGTGTGTTCTGCACTCTCTAATTCTCTTTATGACAGCAGTAGCTTTCTCGCTGAGGATGGAGGCAAGGGTTGTCCTCATATTCTTCCCAGGGAACAACTTCAACCATTGATGTAAGCGCTAGCTCGACGATACACAAGCATTTAACTGGTGGGATGTTCTTGTAGGGCACAATGCATACTTCACGTGGAGTGATAGTCCTACAAAAATAAGGGAACGTCTCTGATTATCCTTCTATGCTTCATCCAATAAAATCTGGAATAATCCTTTGATAGCACCATATACATAACAATGCTGACCAAAACTAGGGACGTGCTCTCTCTAGCTCTTTACTTAGCTAATACAACATCCTGCACTATATGTGTGATTGCCCAAGATGGAATTGACTTGACAACATAGAGCCTAGAGAAGAAAGCAGTACTGGTATCGCTGACCGGCTTTGCTGTTTCTTTGCTTAATATTGTTCTGTGAGATCTGGCCTTCATAGTTACCAAAGAGTCGTTACCTAGCTAAAGATTAACCTTCCTACTGGTAACCAATTTAATTGTCTCTCAACATATAAAAGCTTCAAAACTTCTTTTTGACAGCAACAATTGTAGTTGATGTGTAAACAAACGGTTGCCATGAAGTCAGCAGAAAAGGGTCATACTGAAGAAGGTCGGTTGATCATCTTGCGCCTAAAGATCAAGGCTAAGATAGAAAGCTCATAAGCACCAGATGACCCATCATAGGACATAATATTCTGGTCCATTATTATCCGACTGATAACTTGTCCAACTTTTAAATATTATGTAGCCTTCTGATCCAACGGAAATGACATAAGTTGCTCACTAGATGACCGATGTCATTACAGGGACCGTCAAGTAGAGTCACTTATCTACTACCTCTTGTAGTCTGTTTATGTTCATGTCAGTGACCTGTTCTTCAAGGTTATCCTCTGGATGACTTTAGAAGGAAACTCTACTACTTTTGGTCTGATATAAGGATCTTCCGAGTAGATATGGGGAGATAACCAAGGAAGAGTTCACGTGAAAATAACACATCGGTGTAGTTCTACAATGGATCATAACTAGAAACATCGATACCAGCACGCACCCAGCAGCACAACCATGTGTCGGCCGGCCACAAGGAGGCCCTAGGTTCTGTCGCGACACTGTAGTTGCTACTCATAACACCATTACTGAACATACAACCCACAAGAATTTTCATGTGGTACAAATTTGGTTGCATAGGAGCAACCCCTATGCGAAGGAGGGATAACAAACAAAGGTAGTCACAAGGTTAGGAATCAACAAGGAGGTGATCCGAAGATTAAAACACATCGCAAGAGAACATAGACTAATTGCCGAAGACAACTGAGCAGGGGACTCTTGCTTAATTTCCATATACGCCTTGTATCCACCAAGGTGATTACCAGATAAAGATTAACATGAGATTTGGTCTTGACGAGCAGCAACATGAGATCAAGACTGATAAACATCCAGAGACTTGAAAGAGTTGGTGACAAAACAAATGAGATTCGAGGGACAGAGCCAATGCACTGACTAGATATTCAGTTGATAAAGCAATGACATGATCTGTGAGGAAAAGGTTCCAAAGCTAGGGTAGATAGTGATTAACATTGCACCAGATCATCTGTAGAAGGAGCAATGAGATCTAACAAGGATTTTGGAGCAGGGTCCTCCCACACAGGAGCGGGACAACCATGAAACATGCAAGCAAACAAGGGAACTAAGCTTGGGCCTAAGGATAGGCAAAGGCATGGATAAAGGTCTTCGTAGCGCAACGTTCAAGGGCTAGTAACCACGTGCACAGGCTCAGGCTCCTAAGAGAGAACTTAATTGGAGATGACAACCATGAGATTACCAAAACTTGGACGCTGTTCCAGGATAGCGCTCTTCAACACTCGTATGCTTACCAAGGACAAAAGAGTGACAGCTACGACACTACCTAGATAATGAGCATCCACACATACTTCATGGTCTTAAGCAAGCATTTCGAAACACTCAATCTAATTAGCTTAAGCGACTATTACTAAGCACAAAGCTCGTACATAGCAAGCAGTCACCTATAGCAACACCACTACACATATCATGCAAAACATGG